TTTTAACATCAAGAAAACAACTTTTTGGGAATTCCATCAACTGCTCAGTAATTGGTCTGAGATCTTATAATTTTAACAATTGAAGCAATTCACCCATGCCTATAATACATAAAAGGCTTGATGATTTAGATGTGGTGCTGAACCCAGTGTAGACATCCTGGGACATCCTGGGAGAATGATAGAAATGTAACCTCAAGGGGTTGGCAGATGGCATAATGGTTATGTCTCTGGACTCCCACATAGATGACTGCGGTTACTGGGCCCAGTGGCTTAAACTCACACCTGGCACGTATGCATGTGTGCCCAAGATTCTGGTAGGAGAATGGAGGAGAGGGTATTGTGGTGTGGCCATCTCCTCTGGGGGGATAATTTCTCGCTTTCTGTCTCTCTGTCTCTTCAGCAAGCGCACAGACCCTATAGCAAAAATATCTCTCTCTCAAAAAAAAAAGAAAAAGAAAAGAAAAGAAATGCAACATCTCAGGCTCCAGCTTGGGCTTCTTGAATCAGAATCTGTATTGTAACAAGATTCCCCAGGTAATTCGTACGCACATTAAATCTTGAGAAGCATCAAGCTAGGGTTTGACTGGAAAATAGCAATGAAAAGTATCACAGCCTGCAGAAATTCAGGGCTGGCATTGAAGAGAAACAGTGCTACAAATGATTAAGGATGCAGAGAAGTTTTTGCATCTGTGTTGTTTTGGCTTGGTATTTAAACACGGTGGTGGTTTGATCAACAATCACTTCCATCAGAAAAAAAAGCACCATTTCTCTTCCCTCCCCAGAGTTCTTTATGGTTCTACGTCACTGTTTTTGATAGGCCTGGGGCCTGCAGTTTGTCTACCAGAGACAGAGAAGAATAGCTTGCTGCTGACACAAACAAGAGAGTAAAACTCGATAATTCAACTGCCACCTGCCAAATCGTCCTCCTTTTAAACACAACCTGAAGGCTTCCCAGAGACTGGCTATTTCCACCTGGCTTGTTCTAGACATTCAAAGAATTCAGCTGAGATAAAAGTTGCTGATAAGAGCAGCCAGGACAGTGGCAATGATCATGGTCTAGCAACCGTTGGCAGCTTCCCTCTGTTTACCATTAAGGGTTCTTCTCATTCATCAATGGTTTTGTTTGAACTTCGGCTCACAGACCAATCCCATGCCAAGTAGCTAATATCTCCAGATCTCAGTACTCTACAACAGTTTGAGCAATGAAGTTGACCCCATTCACTTTCATTTGAAGAAAATTAAAGTTATTCACAGATGTGACTAAGAGAAGAAGAAACAAACCTTATCTGCAGTCTGTGCTTCCCAAGCCTTTGTAAGCTCCAGAGAACAAAAATGAGATGCTGGGTCCACTTGAAAATACTCAAGGGATCTCATCCAATGAGCCAGATGTTCGGGTGATATTTATTAATGGCAGGGTCTACACTTATGAGTTTGGGTCTTTTATCTTCTATTGCACTCATCTTAACTCTTTAGCAGTGAGCATAGCCATGTGTCTTTGGGTGTCACTGGATGAGTTGTTATTGAAAGGTTCATGTTTCAACATTTGCCATGAGCATTCATATGGCCTATAGCACATGGGGACCCAGATAAACTGTATCTCATGAGGAAATTTCAATGCATCAAACAAAGATAGAGGTCATTCACAAGTGACGAGCTCACCAAGGTATAAGTAGTATGCACATTAGTCTCTTTTTGTTAGGTGGCCAGCAAAAATGTGTGGAAATTGAAAGACTGGGGATCTAGAGTTCTTGCTATAAGATCTTGGGGTTGGTACTTCATTTCTCTGAACTGTGCATGAGAACATTGTTTCTTATGTGATTTTTTTTAACAGTACAACTATAGAAATGCAATACATGAATCCAGCTAAATGCAGAATGTTCCATTATTATTATTATTTTTAAAGAGAGATTTTTGGTATAGGGTGCCTGCACTTGCTGGAAGATGGAGAGACAGAAAGTGAGGAATCACTCTCCAGGGGGATAGCCATGCCACAATCCCTTCTCCATTCTCATTTGGGGTCTTGGGCACTCATGCACACATGACTGATATGAGTTTAAAGCTCTAGGTTCAGGACTTGAACCACGATTGAAAACATGGGAGTCCAGTAACAGAACCATTACTGCATCTGATTCCCCATTATTCTTAAAATAATTGTTTTCATATTATTGTTCCACAGAATACTGACCCTAGGAAATGAAGTGTTAAGGTAAGGCAAAGATATGAGGGTTCGCAATGAGTATCCTCTTTTTTTTGGGGGGGGTACTTTGCCAGAAGGCACATGCACTTTTCTGAGAGGGAGAGAAGGGAAGTGAGAAAGCATTTCCTTGGAGCATAGACATGCTGAAATCCCTTCTCCTCTATTTTCCTTTAGAGATTTTGGGAGCACATGCACACATGCCTGGTTTTCCCAAACCACTGGGTCCAGGTCTGGAACCATACAGTCAGTCATGTGAAATCTAGCTGTCTTGACCACAGTGCTACTGACTGGCCTGAACAAAGCTTTTCAAGTTCAAGTAAGTGATGGGAACACTGGATTCAACACAGGTAAACGGGCTTCTCTTCCTTGAAACATCTCACTGTCCATGCCCGTTCTCTCTTAGTATGGAAGGTGAATTTCCAAGAGCAGATACAGCATGCTGGGTCTCCCCAATCCTTAACTGAGACTCTCCTTTATTAGGGTCGATCTATTTACATCCCCTGGAACATGCATGAAGTACTATTGTGGATGATGTCCAAGACACATGATCAGATTGATCTTCTATGATTCTGTGATCTTGGAGGCAGCCCACGTCTTTCCTTCATCCCTTTCTTGATAGATCTACCCAAAAAGCATGAGTAGCAACATATTCATTTATAGTGCAGGCCATGCACAGCTGGTCTCTTGTGTCTCTCTAATTGTGTATTTAAGTAGAAGCAATTAGCTCACAGTTAAAATCCAACCTTGAATGCAGAATAGGATGGATAATAAATTGACCTAGTAGAAGAAGGCTACTTTTTTCATTAGGATTCACACCAAAGTCAGATTTGTAAAAAATTTACCCCAGTCGTTTAAAATGGAATGATTTGCTTGAGAAAGAACAAAATGCCTCTCCATCAATTATCAGGTAGTCAGTTTAAAATATTTCTTGGGGGGACCAGCAGTTAGCGTAATGGCTATATCGCTGGACTCCCATGTAGCCAACCGCGGTTCGCGTCTTGGCTTAGAACTCACGCTGGGCGCGTGTGCGTGCGTGCCCAAGATCCCGAGAGGAGAATGGAGGAGAAGGGATTGCGGTGTGACCATCCCACCTGGGGGGTGATTTCTCGCTTTCTGTCTCTATGTCTCTCTCTGTCTGTCTGGCGAGCACACGTGCCCTATAGTGAAAACCTCTCAAAAAAAAAAAAAAAGATTTCTTGGGCCG